TATTCAAATTTCAAATTAAAAGTATTATATATTAAGAATCCTTCAAAAAACAATTTTTTTATCTACGTCTTCCTCAAATCATTTCTTGTAGATTTATACTTAAGCTGTATATATTAAGTTCTTTGCCAATCTTCTTTGAATTATTATTTAATTTTATAATTCACTCAAAGTTTTCAGAGCAGAAGATATAAATATTCATAAATTAGCACCTGTCGTATGAGTTCTATTTCATGATCTTGGAATTTAAACTAATTATATTTTATTTCATCTTTAGCTAAAATTAAAAATAAAATTTTCTTTTCTTCTTCATTTAGTAAATCTTATTTCGCCTCATTTTTTCATATTATAGAGTTGCCTTTTAACATCGCTCCCTCTGTACTTTCTGGTTTTATTCCAAATTTTGGTTTCTAAAATTAATGATTATTCAGAAAGTTGGAAGAGGAAATAATGCATTATGACGTATCAAAGGCAAATAAACGTTGCCATAATTTGTAAAATAATAATAGATTCATCTTAAATCAAATGAGGGCTATAATTTCTAATAAATAATGATAATAAAATTAAAAGCAGTATTTCAATAATGTGAAAAGATTGTGAGAATTAAATGTAGACAACTCTTTCAAAATTTAAAGTAAGTTAATAATTCCCCAAAATTTGAAGTAAAACTTTAAATCTGTAGAATGATTCTTTAGCAGAAACTCTAATAATAATGATTTGTTTTTAAATTAAGTTTAATAGAAATAAGAGAGTGAATGAATATATATTAGATATTAATTATTAAAAAATGATTAAGTAAATTAATTTAAAGTTAAAATGTTTACAAGATGACCATTAGGATGAGATAGACACTGTTTGTTACAACTAGTTTTGTACAGAATTCCGATTAAATTGCTTTAAATGTATGAAGAAGGTAAGAATCCATAATGATCATTTTGATGATGTTGAAAAAATCAATAGCTTGATTGGATTCAATGAAAGTAAAAATTAAGAATGCGATAAATTGTTTGATGATATTAATAAAGATCAAGAAAATCTGAATCAATCGTTTACATTATTAAAAAATGGAATCAGATAAAAATATTCATTATTAAAAGAAAGATTTCTATAATTGAACTCATTCTAAATGAATGATTATTTGAATTCAACTGTCAAATTTGTGGAATACAAACAATCAATTACAAAAATCATTTCAGATTAGACTAACAAATTAATTCAAACATTTAATAACTTATATTAATAATTAAAATTATCATCTTTAAATTATTATTATATTGATGAAAATTCTATAAAACTATCCATAGAGTTATTTGATAAAGGTAAGCATTTTATGAAAATTTAGGTTTTGGATTATATGAGAAGGATAAATATGCTGAGGCAATAGATATATTTGATGCTTCAATACAATAAAATCCAAATAATCATTTATCTTTATGGTGTAAAGGTAAAAATACTCGTTAAATAATAGGTTTGTGTTTAAAATAGTTAAATAACTATGAGGATGCAATTACTTGGGTGGACAAAGCATTAGTTATTGATCCTAAGCATGTTTATTCCTTATTTGTAAAAGGTAAATTGAATCATAATTTTATTAATAGGTTAATGTTTAAGATAGTTAAATAAATATGAGGATGCAATCACTTGGGTGGACAAAGCATTAATTATTGATCCTAATGATGCTGATTACTTACATGAAAAAGGTAAATTGAATCATAATTTTATTAATAGGTTAATGTTTAAGATAGTTAAATAAATATGAGGATGCAATCACTTGGGTGGACAAAGCATTAATTATTGATCCTAATGATGCTGATTACTTACATGAAAAAGGTAAATTGAATCATAATTTTATTAATAGGTTAATGTTTAAGATAGTTAAATAAATATGAGGATGCAATCACTTGGGTGGACAAAGCATTAATTATTGATCCTAATGATGCTGATTACTTACATGAAAAAGGTAAATTGAATCATAATTTTATTAATAGGTTAATGTTTAAGATAGTTAAATAAATATGAGGATGCAATCACTTGGGTGGACAAAGCATTAATTATTGATCCTAATGATGCTGATTACTTACATGAAAAAGGTAAATTGAATCATAATTTTATTAATAGGTTAATGTTTAAGATAGTTAAATAAATATGAGGATGCAATCACTTGGGTGGACAAAGCATTAATTATTGATCCTAATGATGCTGATTACTTACATGAAAAAGGTAAATTGAATCATAATTTTATTAATAGGTTAATGTTTAAGATAGTTAAATAAATATGAGGATGCAATCACTTGGGTGGACAAAGCATTAATTATTGATCCTAATGATGCTGATTACTTACATGAAAAAGGTAAATTGAATCATAATTTTATTAATAGGTTAATGTTTAAGATAGTTAAATAAATATGAGGATGCAATCACTTGGGTGGACAAAGCATTAATTATTGATCCTAATGATGCTGATTACTTACATGAAAAAGGTAAATTGAATCATAATTTTATTAATAGGTTAATGTTTAAGATAGTTAAATAAATATGAGGATGCAATCACTTGGGTGGACAAAGCATTAATTATTGATCCTAATGATGCTGATTACTTACATGAAAAAGGTAAATTGAATCATAATTTTATTAATAGGTTAATGTTTAAGATAGTTAAATAAATATGAGGATGCAATCACTTGGGTGGACAAAGCATTAGTTACTGATCCTAAGCATGTTTATTCCTTAAGTGATAAAGGTAGGTTGATCAATAATATATAATAGGTGAATGTTTAAGATTATTGAAAAAATATAATGAATCCTAATAATTTCTAGATAAAGCACTCTCCATCAATCCTCAACATACATTTTCTCTTTAAGCAAAAGGTATCTACATCTTTAATTTGCAGGAGATTGCTTAAGGGATTAATAAAAATACAAAGAAGCACTGATTTATTATGAGAAATCTTTAAAGATTGACCAAAATGATTAATATTCAAATAAATAAAAGGGTAATCATAACTTATTAAACTAGAATTCTGCTAAAAGAAACTTAATCAGTGAATAATCACAATCACAAATTATTATTTTTATATTTCTTTTACTTCTTTTTTCTTTAAGATTGATTATAATCTTTTTCAGAAATCATTGGGATTATTCAAACTTATATTAAATATTCAAGAATTATAATCAAACTTTATTTTAAGGTTCATTTTCTCAATTTTATTTTTATATTTATATTTTAGTTTTAACACTGTTTCCTCAATGCTTTCTTAAATATTGTTTTAAGTTATAAGGATGACTTTTCAGTTTTTCGCTTATCTAATGCAAACCTTACATCAAATCTGTAAACCTAAGTATAAGATGAATCAAGTTTTGAAGAATGAAAGAATAATAAGTACTGTTTTCATATTTGAACTGCTTAATTAATTGGAAGTTGATTTAATTTTGAAGGGATCATTCAAAATTATTTTTCGGTACATAAATTATGCTTTCGAAGAGATTTTAAATCTTAACTTTTTGTTCTTTTCTAACCTCTTTTGTCGGAATATAAGAGAAGAAATATTTGGATTTGAGGCTTGCTATTTGTGATTTATTTGGCAAGCTTTTCCTATTAAAGTAAATCATCCATATCCTTAGAAGAATCAATTTGCCTTAGACTTTATTAATGAGTAAGCATTTCTTAATCAACTTTATATCTTTTCTATTAAAAGGAAAAATGAAAAGCAATCTGAATTGTAAGAGAATCATTAATCTATCATAATTAATTTTATGAAATTTACCATTTCAATTACAAGAGATATATCGAAAAATTACGCTATATCATATCTCTTTTCTTTAATATTAGTAATAATGAACACCTTCAGAATGCTATTTCTGAGGGCAAGGAAGATGAATACATTCAGGTAGAATTTGGCCCAGTTTTTCTCATTTAATTTGAAAATCTCTTTTACCATGAAAAGCAATCAAAAACAATGATGTCCTATTAGTGCTTATCTACATTGCTAAAAAGAGCTGAGCATCAATATTGAGTAGAAACTAAGCAAATTTAAAGGATAGGTTGCATGAATTGAAATAAATGTAGAACAATACAAAGTTTTATTATTTTATTTCGACAGCCCTTTTGTATCGAAAAAAATAATTTTACTATGCCATTTTAGTTGAAAAAATGGGGAATGCTTATTGTTTTCAAATAAATACCCTTCAGCGACTTAGAGAAAAGATAATTTTTGTTCAAATCTCATTTTGAAACTCATATCTTCTTACACTTTAGTTCATTGAATTATCTAGATGGCTAAATTTGTTGATATTAACTAACTTAAATTTATCGTTTTTTGATAATATAATTAATATTGCTATCATTTTCTTCTCTCTCTTTAATTTATTTAGTGAGAAGGAATTAAATATTTTTAAGCATCTCATCCTTTTAAATGTTTAAGCTTATGAAGTCTAACTTGCAAAAGTTTCAAGAGAATATATAAAAAATTTAATACCTAAATCGCCCTACCTAATTATTAAAGATAAATGTCGGCTCATTTTGAATAATAGATTATGACAACTCTTTTAGTTTAGGAACAGGAATTACATATTTGATCCTTTCAACAACGTTAATCCTATTGTACGATTACATTTGTATTAATATCATCATTACTGTCAAATACTAAATTTTAAATAAATTATCAAAGAAAATGTAAATATATTTGTTGTCTTATAAATTTAAAGAATCTGATTTTTATAATCATTATTGCAGAATCATAACCAATTTAATTTCCATTGAACAATTATTAGATTCAATTCAATTTTTACTTCCATTAATATGTATTTTGTTAAAGTCTCCTTAATATGTTAGGTGATTGTTAGATAACGTTAATTACCTTTTATTAAATGGAATTTTAGATTGCTGATATAATAATGCTTTGGTTTCTTAATTTCGCAAGCTTTAATTAAGGATCTTAGATGGAAATAGCAAAAACGATTCATATGAAAAAAATTGATCTTAACCAGCCAGTAACTTTCTAAGTATGGACAACTAAATATTCTAATCTATTCTCCATACTATTTCAAAGGGACGATTATTCTTCCATTCTATTTAATATATATTTACATTTAATGGATTTTGAATTAGCAATTTTCTTTTATTGCTATACTCCCTATAATTAAAGTCTTCCTAATATTTATATTCTGCCTAAAATATTATTGTTTTCAATAAAAATTCTTGCCTCTTATTCAATTAGTTGTGATGGACAAATCATGCATTTATCAAGATTTATCCTGCTAATAAATATATTCAGATATCTTAATATTTCCCTCACGAGATATCCTATTTCTCGCTATATTCTCTAATAAATTCATAATATAGATGAGAACATTATTAAGTTATTATTGCTTATGATAACTTGTATTTTAACCTTGATTAATCTGTTTTAGTTTTAGTCGAACTCTTAAACTTCCAATTCTTTGATTGATTCAATACAAACTCTTTTATCTTGAGAAATAGAAAAAGATTTCATATTAAAAAAAAATAATTGAATTTCTAATGATTAAGAAAATATGTTACCTTTTTTCAATATATTTCAAGTAAGCAAATTTAAAGGAACAAAGTATCTGTTTAAATCGCAGAGAGGCAAGAAATTTATAGGAAGCATCATTGGCACTACAATAAATGATTTCAACAAAATTTTATCTATTCTTGCAGAGGTTTGATATTAGATTTAACCTTCTAACTACATTGAAATTGATTTTTTCTATTAGCTTATAACTTTAGCATATAGATAAATTTAGATCTCTTTTAAATTCGTATTTAATTTTCAATCGATTTCAAATTTATCGTATAAGAAGTAAGTAACTAGAATTACCATCAATACTTCTCTTAAGATATTTCTGATATTTATGAGAGATTTGACAATAATTATTTCATAAAGGATGTATCTTCTTTTTTGTTACTCTTTTTATAAATTAGGCAGAATCTAATCTCTAACTGTGATGGTTGATATTACTGTCTTTCGTTTGATAATAAATTAACAGAAGATTCAGTAAGAAAAATATCATCAAAATGGTTCTATTATTAACGTAAAAGTATATTCTATAATTAATAATTAGCAAGTCCTTGTTTGTCAATAGAATAAGGATTTGAAAGTTGCAGAAACCTACAATTTAGAATTACATAAGAAAATGCTTATTCTTCCTTTATCAATCATATTAAACTCTGTTCATTATTTAACAGAAAATACTATGATGTTATTTAAAGCAAAAGAAAAATTAATTAATATTTGAGCTAATTCACCACTATAGTTAAGGTAATTCAGTTCCTTCAATGATATTGTTTCCGTTTGATCTCCTTCATACGTAAAATCCCATCTACTAACTTTTATATCTTTTTTATATTTGCCATTGTAAGTCTATAAAGAATCAGAAAAATTATCTGATATTTCTACCCAATCACCCTACTTATGTTAGTTGCCTGTTTTATCATATTCTCCACTACCACTATGCCATCTACAAAATATTTTACATTTTATAAAATGGATCGTTTCTCCTGAACCTATACTGAATATCTCAATAACCAACTTTTTCCCGTTTTCATATTTGCCATTGAAAATTATTGAAGAATCAGAGAATTTTTCTAATAATTCCACCCTATAACCTTACTTAAGCCCATCCCCTAATTCATCATATTATCCACCATCTCTATTGCTATCGAACATATTTTTACATCTTTGAGCTTTAATTATTTTAATATGGAAATTTAACCATTTATCCCATCTACGAAATTTACTACTTCTTTTCTATTCACCACTGTATGTTACTTAAGAGTTATACCTGAACTATCTGATATTTCCACTCAATAACCCAACTTAAGTCCATCCTCTACTTTATCATAAGATTCACCTCCATTGTTTTTCATCCCCATTTCTATATATTATTTCTTACATTTTCTTTTTATTAGCCATTCCAATTCCAATAAATATCCCATCTACCAACTCTATTACCATTTTTATACAGACCATTATACTGTAAATAGGAAAGATCCCCGAAGTTTTCAATTATTTTCACCCAATTACCTACCTTAAGTTCATCACTTGTTTTATCATAAGATCCACCGCCACTGTCACTGGGTTGCAATGTAATAAAAAATTTTCCATAATAAAAAATGAGTCATTGCTTCTAAACTCTATGTCCCATCTCCCAACTATTTTTCCATTTTCATATTCTCCATTATAAATTATTGTGGATTCATCCAAAAATCCACCGCCCAACTCAATCTACTTCCAACTTTTCTAGTCTTATTCATTTTATGAGCCACCTCCACTAAACTAAATTACCAATAGTTCCTATTTTTTAATAATTAAGTATTCCCCAATTTCACAGGCTGGGGCTATGCTATTTTTCAATTCTTAATCCATGTTTACCTCATGTAATTCTTAATAGGTTGCCATATTTAATCCAGTCTTATAGTATACTGTCTTTCCTAAGATTTATTATATCCACCATCTAAAATTGCTTCCCCATTCCAAATTAGCATCCATTTTCCTCTATTTTAATTGTTTTGGCCGTATTCTTTATGCCATTCGAAATATTTGATCTATTCCAAATTCTAAAAAATATCTAGATCACTGTAAATCATTCTAAAGCTATACTCTATATATTATGACTGACCATTTACTTTCTCACGATTCTCTCTAAATATGAGTAAATTATTAGATTATCAGTTCTTATTTCTACTTGTAGATTAACCTTTATGAGTTTTCTATCGAACTTATCCCACTAATAAATTTTCAACTATTTGTTTTCTTCTTTTTTTGTTAACTTAGGGTTCATTTTTGAAAAAATTACTAAATTTAAATACTTCACTAATTTATCAAATTATAGAAATGCGAAAAATTAGATTTTTATCAAAAGTAGAAAATTTTAGAATTCAATTATGTTTAACTAGAAATTTGCTTGAATAAATAAAAAGAAGAATTTCTTAGGTTGATAAAAAATTAACTTTTATTCTTTTTAAGGTGCATTCTGCCATATTTTTTATTGATGATAACCATAAGATATTATAAGAAATCAAAAAATGAGGAGAGGTAATAGAAATTAGAGGTAAGCAATTTTGTAAAACTTACGATTCAAACAAATTTCAATATAAACATAAAACATCAAGTGAATATTTGATCTGGTAAATCAATGATTTTAATAACTATGATAGAGAATTTACATTATAAGGAGAGATATATAATCTAGCATGTCTTTCTAATATACAAGGCAATCTTTTTTCATGAAATGTTGTAATTTAGGTTTATCCTATCCAGAGTTATTGAAGTCGTTTAATATTGCCGGATTGTTCTTCGCTTAGAAAGTAAAGTCTAAATTAAAAGGAAATTCAAGAATTTTAGGTTCAAACTTGAAAATACAAAATAGTTGTATGAAAATAGCATTTATTAAGGCTTTTAGAATTCAGGTAAGCAGTACAAAGGTTATAATAATAGAATTTGATACATTTCTTTTTAAATTAAAACAAAAGAACTATTTACTATAAAAGGTTTGAAGAGAAGCTTGAATAGAAAAAAAGAATTTACGATTAAAAATAATAGCATCTCTAATAGCACCAGTTAGTTTGCCGAAAAGTAGAAAAGAGAAGTCGGTAGATTTATGATTTGAAGAAGGTCAAAATAAGAGCGTCAGAATTTTATAAAATTTCAGCTATGAACTACTAAATTGATATTGTTATTGGGAACACTTGCTTGAATCCTCTATCTCAGCTAAAGAATTTTGGTATTTATATTAGAATATTGATAAATACTATCATCTTACCACACTGCAGGAGATTGAAGGATTTCTAAATGAATTTAATTTTCAGAAAGAGTATTTTCCTATATCAAGCCAATTCGAGTGAAAAGGTTATTTAACAAAAAACACCAGAAATAGCAATAGTGATTCAGTTTCATAGATAGAGAAAATCTTCATCAATCAATAAGTAATTTTTCTGGAATTTTCTTCTTTCCCCAAAGTTGCTTTAGATCATTTGTTCAATCAAAGTAAATGCAACTTCCATAAAATCAATTTTCGACATTTATTCTAACGCGTAGTTTAATTCTGTCCAAGTTTACATGCATTGCTAGAAACTAGAATCATAGCTTCTAATAGGTTTATGTCCTTTGAAATAAGTATGTCAATACAGGCAGCAAAGCAATGTCAACTACTCAATCCAGTTTTAAGCCAAGCTATAGCTCTTTGACACAGGAAGATCTACAGTCCATTGTAGTCTACTCTGGGAGCAGAAAAATTTCGAAGTTACTAAGATTAATATTGGGGAAAGGCAATTGCTGAAAGAGGATAGGCAAGAGAGATAGATGTTTGATCAACCCTAGCAGCCAAATTATATTAATAGATATATCTTGGATTTGAAGCAACAAAAATGAATCCAAGACTAGCAATCAGGATTCAATAATCGAATTCTTTTTAATTTAGAATTCTCTTTCTTTGATAATTGGAACAAACTAATGTTTTTTACGAAAAATTATTTAATCACATAAAAAGCTTTCAATTTTCCAAATA